TTTTTATTTTATGTGCATGAGTGTATTGCCTGCATGTATGTGAGTGCACTCGTGCCATACAGTGCCTTGGAGGTCAGAAGAGGGCATCAGATTCCCCTGGAACTGGAGTTAAGGACAGTTCATAGCTACCATGTGGGTGTTGGGAATCGAACTCCGGCCCTCTGCAAGAGCTGAGTCATCTCTCCAGGCCCACAATATTCTGATTTTAATCGTTGCACTTTGCTTTGTAAATTTCTTTACTCTTACAAGATATACACAAGAGTATTTCGGGAAGAAAGGTCATGATGTCTGTAGTTTACTTTTTATGGACTCACCAAAAATATATAAATAACAAAAATAGCTGGGTGTGGTGGCCCACACGTTAAAGCCAGCACAGTCTACATAATGAGTTCCAGGCCAGCTAGGGCTGCATAGTGAGCTCCTGCCTCAAAAACAAAGAAACAAATATTGTATGTTTATATATGGGCTAGCCATCTTAATTCATGGAGAACAGACACAGTACAGTGTTAGGGTAAAATGTAATACCAAATATGAAATATCAAACGAAAAACTGGGCTTAGATGTACACCATGGTGTTAAAGTCCCACAAATACATGAAGAATCAGAGAAATCTACATGTGTAAGAAAACTCTCAAGGGTGCTGAATAACAGAATTGTGGGGGCATGCAGGAGAATCCAACCCATGTTTTGAATCTAACATTTCCCCTAGGGTTGGGTTGGTATGCTCTGAGCTCATGGCCTGGTTAGGATTCCACCTGTTCCCTGTCCTCCCCATACACACGATCCCTGAGGAGGACCCCAGGCAGATTTAAAACATTCTCACATGTGTAGGCATTCGTGGTTGGGAGTGTAACACCTCTAAGTACCTACTGCCTACAGACCTCCAGGGAGTCATGAGTAAATCAGTCCATTGTTCTAGGCCTGTTAGCAGCTAAGGGCTGCCCACCTTAGGGGCCAGCATCAACCCTCACACCTCCAACTTTGAAAAAAAAATGTTCTGTTGGGGCTGGAGAGATGGCTCAGCAGTTAAGAACACTGGTTGCTCTTGCAGAAGACCCAGCTTGGGTACCCAGCACCCACATGGCAGCTAACAACTGTCCATAACTCCAGTTCCAGGGGATCCAACAGCCTCTCCTGTCCTCTGAGGGCATTGCACGACTCGGGTGCACTTACCTACACGCAGGCAATACACCCATACACATAAAATGAAAATAATAATAAATATGAAAAGAAAATAATGTTCTGAATCACATCTCCAGAGAAAGTTCGGTGAAGCAATTCTTTTGCTCCCTGGGGATGGGGCCAGGGAGGAACTGCAGGAAAAGGCCACTGTGGACCAACTCAGGACCTGCGGGCCATTCCCACCCACCGAGGGCAGAGCCCGTCTGATCCCACCCACGCACTTGGGACTAGGTGCAAACAGGGGACACCAGTACCTCAGGTGACTCGCCACCCCGGGAGCTGTCCAGGCTCCGGGAGCCTGAGGAGCAGCCGAGACTCATGCTGTCGGCTGCTCCAGGGAGCACAGCGAAGCTAAGCGCGGAGCCTGGGACACCAGTGCGTCTCCTGGAGCAACCAGTAAACAGCTAGTGGGAGGCGGTGCCTGCCTCTCACAGCCACAAAGAGATTACAGATAAGTGCCTTGGGCAAGTCCTCCTAGCTCCCTAAGAGACTTGGGAACTGAGACCTCTCATGGAGATAAGGGACAGTGTGACATACTCCCATCATGAGCTCAATTCCAGATCTTATGTCAGGGATGAGGAACATCAATCAACTGGTCATTATGCATGGAAGGTGTGGGAGCTTGGGGCACAAAGGTAAACTGAGCATTTATTTAGCACCTAGAGCCCGTGAGCTCCAGGGTCTGCTTCATGGGGGGCGATCTGTATGACTACACAGGCTTGGGTCCTGTGCTTGACTGAACCCTCTGTGTGCCCAGGTTTGCAATTCTCATTGGTTGGTTGGTTGGTTGGTTGGGTTTTGAAACAGGGTCTCATGTAGCCCAAGCTGACCTGGAGCTCCCTCTGACCATGAACTGATCTTTCCAAATTTTGTCTTTACAGTCAAACATTTCCATATCTGGTTATATGGGTGCAGGGGATCCAACCCAAGGCTTCAGGCATGCTAGGCCTCTACCAACTGAGCCACATCCCCAGCTCTCTTAGCAGTATTTGAACAAGAGTCCTGCATTCTGTATCAGGCTCTGCAAAGTATGTAGCCTATCCTAGTGAGTGGATGTTCTTCTATTTAACCTTCTCAACAAGCCTGCTCAGAAATACAAATGCTGGTAACACTCTGTTTATAGCAGCATGGCTTCTCCTTATGAGATACTCACAGGTCCTTTTTGATGAGCGGCTATCAGCCTGCCTCCATGCATAATCTTCTTAAATGAGACAAGATTTTGAAGAGGATAGGAGAATAACCCATTTTTCAAAGAAGGAAACAGTCTCAGGGAAATGGAATAAAAGTTCAAGAGCACATAGCAGCCCAGGAGAAGAGTGATGAGACCCCAAAACACCTACATTTTTAAAAAATATTTTATTTATTATTTTTATTTTATGTGTATTACCTATTGCCTGTGTGTAGGTAAGTGCACCCATGTCATGCAATGCCTGTGGAGGACAGAAGAGGCTGTCAGATCCCCTAGAACTGGAGTTACAGACAGTTGTTAGCTGCCATGTGGGTGCTGGGATTCGAACCTGGGTCTTCTGCAAGAACAGCCAGTGTTCTTAACCGCTGAGCCATCTCTCCAGCCCCAAAATCGACATTTGAAACAGAGAAAACAAAGTTCTTCCCTGAGGTCTCACACTTGGTCAGAGACTCTGAAAGTGGCCCTCCATTCACAGCATTTGGAAGCCCTCAGGCCCCAGGTGCTGTTGGAAACTTATATGAAATCAGGGCTGAGGCAGCTTCTAGATGCCATCCAGTCATCCCATGGGCATTCATGCTGTCTCTGAGGGCTTCTTGGTCTTCACAGTGTTCTTTTCAAGGTTTTGTACAAGGATATATTACATGTTGAACATCATCCCCCTCAGAGACCCCATTTTCTTGCTCCCCCCTCCCGTTTGGCCTTTATCCCTTAATCCGTTTTACTTCTATTTTCATGTCATACATACACACGTGATTTATGTATATAGACATAGAAAACTTGGGAACCACAAATAATAGAAAACAAATGATATTTGTCCTTCTGAAACTGGCTTAATTCACTTAACATGATTCTCTCCGGTTGCACCCATTTTCCTCCAAACAACATGACTTCGTTCTTTATGACTGGGGAAAAAGACATACTGTGGATATATAATCCCACATACTCCATTCCACTGAGTATATACACCACATGCTCTTTAGCCCACTGTGTATATAAAACCACATGTTCTTCATGCACCCCTTTCTTATTGGACACCTAGGTTTTTCCCATAATTTAACTATTGTGACTAGTGCTGTAAAACAGCCCACAATACCGTAATTGACACACTAGAGTCATAAACATTCATGGCGTGCCATGGAACGTTGGCCGTGGCTTGTGGCCTTACAGTAATATAGCTGTATATTCAATCCAAACTCAATACTTCAATACTTTCACCTACACCTAAAGCTGCATTAACTTTAAAAAATTACTTAATGGAAACTATGCTTTCAGGAATCTCTTATTAACAGTGAGGTTCATAGAAAACATATTTTCTAGTTAGTTTCTCACCACAGTAGGGTCACTAGAGTTTTGATCAAGTTTCAGTGAATGGTTCTGTCAGAGCAACTTCAAAATGAATGCAAATTCCAGGCAACTGGGAGAAGCAGCCGAGAAAAATCCCTCCAGGAACCACATCCAATTGCTCCAGAATTCCATTTGGTAAAGTCTAATTCTGGCCGCTTTGGTCAACCTCAGCATATTAGTTACTTTCAGTTGTTGAGATGAAATACCATGACCAAGGGCAACTCATAAAAGGAAGGTTTTCAAAAAATAAAGTAATAAAATGAACAGAAGGTTTTGCTTTGGCTTACAGTTCCCAAAGGTTCGAGTTCATGGTGGTGAGGAAGGCACAACAGTGGGCAGCAGGAGCAGGAAGCTGGCTGATCACATTCAGCCAGACACAGGAAGGAGAGAGAGAGAACAGGAAGTAGGGTGTGGCTATACACCTGCAAAGCCTGCCCCAGTGGCATGTTTCCTCTAGCAAGGCTACACCTCCAAAAAGTTCCACAACCTCCTCAAACAGTACCACCAACTGGGGGTGGAATGTTCAAATCCGTGAGCCTATGGGGACATTCTCATTCAAACCACTACATGCAGATTCTTCATGAAAACAGAAGATCTGTTTTCACAGTCCTCCGAAATCATTGTTCAAAGGTTCTTCTCTATGGAAAAGTACTATGTACTTTTATGGTGATGGAGGCAGAAAAGGATTTGCCTCTGAACTTTCTGTGCTGTTAAGATATGAGCCCAATAATTCGATGGCAGCATCTGATGCTGAGATCTGATGTCCAGAGAGTTGAGCAGGATTCTGAGGTCTGGAGGCTGGAGGGGTGACAATTTAGACCACGTGGGCCTGTGGTGGTAGAGCACTTTGGGCTAGGCTTTGGAGTACCCCATTATGATGACAGTCTTAATAAAGGAGAGAAGTAAAATTAATAAAGCCCACTCTGACCCAGGCTTCTCACAAAACTCCATGGGTGGGCAATATATTATGAATCATAATATCCTAGTGTGAACCTGTATTTTTCTTTACAATGACAACAGAGACATGAGCTACCAGCTATGTGACCTTGTACATGTCATATGACTGCATCTTTATAGACAAGGGAAGCTCCTAATGAGGGCTCGGGCAGAATTTGAACCACGTGGTAGAGAATCTCTGAAGCTGTTAAGTTTGGGGAAAGCCATGTTGTGAATGCGGAACTTGAAGAAGTAACAGGACAGCAGTGGTAGACTAGATTCAGGAGACTGGTGGGGGAGGTGGAGGGCAGATAAGGAGGTCCTGGGAGGAGACTGTCACAGGCCAGGTGAGAGAGAAGACTCACCAGAGGGAACGGGAGTTGTGGGGAGGAGGAGGGAACAGTTTTATCGGGTGGAATCACCTACATCTGAACTCACCAGACAAGGACGATCATAGTGAGGCCTAATCAGACAGCAGGGAGAGAAAGCAAAGGAGGGGAGAGAAGAGAGAGTTCAGTTGAGAAAAATTCAGTCTGAGTTGTGGAGAAAAGACAAACATATTTTGTGTAGGGAACAGGAAGCCTAGGCACATCCAGCTTAAAGTGGAAAATCCAGCCCATTGTACTGATAAGCCTGGCATGCTGATGTGCATGTTAAGTAAACATGCTATCTGATGAAAGATAAAATGCCTGAAAGAAGGTCTCACTGGGGGAGAGAGATGGAAAGCTGTGTCAGTCTTGGAAGAGTTTTCTTGTAATGTCCTCAATTATTAATTTTTGTTTGTATGTCTTACAAATGTATGTTTTTCTCCTAAGAAAATTTGTACTATGATAACTTTGGTAGCTTTTAATTTATGCTTAAAATTCTGTCATTCAAAGCACTCCTATGACATTTTAGATGTCTAAAGATTGTTTCAGAGCATGCTTGATTTAAATGTTTCCTCAATCGACCTCCCATAGTCTATGCTGGTGTCCCTCCCAAGTTCATGTGTTGGAATATCCTATACAATGGGACAGCATCAAGAGGTAGGAGCCTGGGGAAATAGCTCAGTGGACTGGGGTGGCTCAGTGGGTAAAGTGGCCTAAGCCTGAAGACCTGAGTTTGGATCACCAGCACCCACGTTAAAAGCTGGGTGTGGCAATGCACACCAGTAATCCCAGCACTGGGAGGAAAAGGCAAGAGAACAGAGGGACTCATTGGCCAGCCAGCCTAGCCAATCCAAGAGCTCTAGGTTCAGTGAGAGGTCCAATCTCAGAAGGTATTTTTAGCTGTCATCCAGCCTACACACACACACACACACACACACACACACAAACACACACACGATGTAGAAACCAACACACAAAATAGGTTGTAGATTTGTCTCACAGGCCATGCTTCCAACCCATAACCCCTGGTCTAGGAAAAAGCTTGGAAGGGAGATAACATTTTATTTTTCTTATATTTTTGAGACAGGGTTTCGCTGTTTCCTGGACAGCCTGGATGACCTCAGACTTGCAGCCATCCTCCTGCCTGAGTGCTGGAATTACAGGTGTGTGCTAGGACACCTGGCTTTACATTTCCAAGGAGAATCAATTTAAGGCAAATGGTGTGAGTAAACCATCGCAGAGAAAGTATTCAGATACAAAAACCCTATAAGTGACCAAGAAATGACTAACATTTGGAAAAAGCTGTATAGGGAAAAATAGTGGAATTTTTCTACTAAGGTTCATGGTCATGATTTTAAAATGAAACCAGTGAGCTCAATTGTATGATTTTTCTCCTCTCTGTTCCAATTGTTTGAGAAGATGAAGCACATTTACCTTCAACCAAGGTCAAGGGTATACCAGGCAGGGATAGAGATAGGAACAA